CAGTCCGAAACATCGCAATCTTTCTGGTACCAAGATGAGGAATCTTTCTTTCGGGGTTATTCTTGGACTTCTTGCTTTTGTCCATTCAACACCTCTAACAAGTAAGTGAAAGTCATTTTTCATATTCTTACAGTTCTTCACAGCACTACAGTGAAAACATCTAATTGAACACCTTTTTTTTTTTTTTTAAAGCTGAGTATTTTTTTGTGATTTGATCAGACATGTATTTTTATTCTTACTTTAAAAAAAGAGATCAGATCAAGTTAATGTGCTTTTTTTTTTCCTTGCTAATATTCTCATAATATAGTCTCGGGTGGTCATGACATTCTTAAGCAAAATTGCATTCTCCCACCTCAGAACTCAGGAGGCTGTACACTTGGGCTTTGAAGTCTAAAAAATACATTAATTCTTCAACGCAGACCTCTGGAATTTCAATTATTCCCATGGTGTCCTTCCTCTCAACTCGTGAGTCAGCACTTACCTCCTCGCCACCTCAGATGCACTTTATGTATCAGGTCTAACTCTCTCTGTAGGAATGCCGGAGTCGTTTTCATTGTCGCTGCACAGGCTTCACTCTCACCTCCAGATTACACACGGAGATCATTGTAAAAAATCTTCCGAGCTATTCCAGGAGGTGCATTAAAGCAGACATCTAGAGTAAGTGAAACCAGAGAGCCGCAAGGAGCTGATAAATAAGTTTGGGTAACTTCATAGGGAGCACCAGAGCGGAACATGACTTGGCAGAAACAGGAGTTGAGATCTGTCACTTGATTCTCTGGCACTTAATTCATTATTTTTTTCCAAGGCAATGAATCATTGCTGTGGAGGTTCAACAATGCAAGTTGTATTGTCTTCAGTAAAACAGAGCTGTATAATATTTGAAATGTTACCAATAGTAGTCATCGGCATTATGCAAACGCAGAGGCTGCAATTTTTTTCAGATGTCAATAGTATATTTAAAGGCTTTTTTGTGTGCAAAAATTTTAACTCATACCAATACCAAATACTTTGGTGCACTGGGTGTGTCTAAAGTTGTGGTATGTTCGTGTAAACTCTAATGCCCTTGGTTGAGCTGCATCTCTTTTGTTAACCCACTCTTAGACCATTAGTCACCCTGGTTAATCATTACTGTCCCTCCCTACGCCTCATCAAAGAAGATCACAACACAAGTTTGTACAGGAATTTGTGGCCATGCAAGTAATCCTTGTGTGGCAATTTTGAAATAGGTTAAACAAAAGCTTAGCAACTTTCCTTTCCGCTCATGTCAAGACTGGTGGGTAAACACTTAGATTTACCTGTGGATTTTTCCGTCTCTCTTTGTCCTAGCTGTGACCCAGATCTCGGCCAAGGATGAAGTTGTCAATGAGGCCTTGACGGATGGGTTCCTGATTGATCTCCCTTCACTCACGACTGCATCACCCAAGAGAAACACAACAGTTCCAGTTTCCCAACCATCGTCCTCTGTTCCTACAGAGTCAGACTTCGAGGGCAGTGCTTTAGGGGAGTCCAGTGACCTGTTCCACCAGCATGAAGGTGAACACCCTGCGACCACAACGCAGAGTGTTCACATCCCCCGAGCTCAACCTCAACTGTGTTTCTAAGAGCTGTGGACCACTCCAGTTCAGATTTATCCATCACTCAAAGCACTCAGGCCAGCTTTAAGTCTTCTTCAGTGCCAAATGAGGCCCAGCCCAGCTACACCCCAGACCACAAATCCACCTCTCAAACCACTCGCCATGCTGTCCGGATCTTTGACCCTCTGACTTCAGATTTAGGATCTGGAGATGGAGAGATGCCTGAACAGTACACCACTACAACCTCCAGTATGAATTCTAACACAAACGGGGTAACCGATGCTGCATCATCAACCATCATGGCTACTCCCATCGGACCCAAGCGTCCACGAATGTTTTTACCAAATGACGAATTAGTCGTTGTCAATAAAGGTAAGATTCCTGTGCCTTCTCTAATCGGTATGCCTCTGCATATTCATATTTTCTGTGTTTATTTCTTTAGGCAAAGTTTGAACATGTGTCTCTCTGTTATTGTTCCAGAACCACAGACAGGACCATCAGGACACAAAACACCAGGTGAGTCCAGGAACATGCCTTTAAAGCATTTCTACACAATCAGTCTCTGAACATATCAGCTCTGGGAGTGTTTGCGGTCTTTGAATTATGATAATCCATCTAATGAACTCTTGCTCTCCCATACCTCCAGGTTGGATGATCATCACTGGTTTCATCGTTGGTGTTGCAGCACTGGTTGTGATCTGCGTTGCCATCGCTACAAGAGACAAGTAAGACTTAAAAGATCTGAAATGTGTATATATATTATATTTCAAGTATGGCTATTAAGAGCATGCAATTAGATTCTTACTGTTCCTTTATTGCACAGGTGGAATGCACCGAGCAAAGCATCCCAGCTTGAGACCCAAACTAACTCCACAAACCAGCAGAGGGAGCAGGAGCAGGAGATGGAGACGTTCCTGCCCAAGGAGAATGGAAAGGCGGCAGAATACACCGTCATCCCTCTGGATGAGCTTCCAGAGAATAACTCATCGGACTGAGACGCAACAAAAGACCCTTGTGATGTTTGATGCTCATCATAGAAAAACAAGACTGTGTGTGAAGCAGAGGAATTCGGTCGGAGGAAAAAACAGTGATTGCTGTTAGGCATAAGATTTCCGCTTTGAGCCCGATCTGAAACACCAGTGACAGTCTGGGTTTTCCACCTGACTTTGAAAACTCTTGTTTTATAATGCCTTTGAGATAACAGCAATATTTTGGTTTTTGTATTTATTATGTCAGATATTTTTTCTAGATGCAACATGCAAAGCTGGTCGGGAAACTTCCACTGAAGCCATTTATTTCAATCTCTCTTCAGTGTTTTATTTTCTGTTTTAATTTTAAATATTTTTCCCAACAACCAGCTCTGTTTGCCGGCATATGTATATATTTTATTCAAGTGTCTTATTGTAATTATTTTCAATCACGTGTAATCATATTGTTGAAAGTCTGTGTTGTAGATTGTAACTTATATTAAGCTGCCGTTTCCCCCGTGCATTCAATGTCGAAGCTCAGCCCACAAATCCATTAGCTGCTCTCGACAACCTACGCAGTACTCCAGCTGTCGCACTCATTGAATGTTCACACCACCTGCACCTTTCGTCTGAGAAATAAACACAACGACAGCTCATCGACAAACATTTATTTTTGGTTTTCCATTCATATTTACACACAAGTATTAAAACATTTACACACTTTCAGTCCGTTTCAGCCTGACAAATGTAACGTTGCACTGTTAAGAGTTTCATACGAGTGCATTCAATCCTGCTTGAATGTAGCCACAAAATTTAAAAGAATGAAGGTCAGACACAAGAAATTGTTGAACACATTCTTGGACCGATATGTGCATAGCAACAAAATATTCAAATGATTTTCTAAAGAATCTGATTTCACAGATTCATAGAAAACACTTGCTACACTCGGCCAGTTGACTAAAAACTATCTCTTATTTGGATCGAGGCCCAATTACAAATATGAAAGCTGGGGAAAGGGATGTTATGAATTCATAATGGGCTCTTGACATAAATTTAGGGTCTGATGAATTTGAGGCCGACTCGCTTTAGAAAGTGGTGCTTAAGCCAAACACAGGATAGACACACACAAAGCTGCCTTAATGTGCTCTTAACCGTTAAAAACCCCAAATATGGAATGAATCATTTCTAATATTTATTTGTTAAACAAGCGAAGAATGTTGGGCTTATTCATTTTACAACCATTTGGAGCTCATTCGATTCTCGTAAAAAAGGAAATTAGATTAATTGAATGCATTGTTTGCTTTAAATACATAACCCTAATTTCACAAACTAAAGAAACTAGTGGCCCATGAAGGGAAATTAACATTGTGCTATCATTAATACTTTAGATTAATAGTCTTTATAGAAACCTTAAGCATAGCAAAAAATCTGTCTGATACATGACATGAAATGTCACATGCTATACAGTTGATTTATACAGTTCTGATCTAAAGAGAGTATATATACACAAAGTGCAAGGAGGCACTTTAAAATTGAAAAGTATAAACTGATGCTTATTTGAAAAAGAGAAAAGAAAGAATCCCTTTTTTGTTTTGCCTATAGGATCAAACAGAGTCGATACACAGAGTAAAACCCGAACACAACATCCAATGACCTTGTTGTTACGGCTTTAGATTAATGCGAGTGCTGGAGGCAGAATTTAGCGTGCACTCGCTAAACAGACGTGACCAAAGCTAATTAACTCTACATGTTAATTACAGGCTTATGAATTTAAATCTGCTGCGTAGAACTCTGCAAACTCTAGGTAATTCCTTGCGAGGAAGGCCCAGCCGTCCTCGCTCTGAGGAGGTAAAAGATGGAGTGGGGGGGGGGGGGGGTTGAGCTTTATATCTTTACAAAAGTTGAGCTTTATATCTTTACAAAAAAATGTGAGAGCCAATAACCAATTGGCAACTTTGATCCGGAAATGTTTGTCATCCTATTGACTGCACTCTGCAGTTGACATTGTCAAGGCAAGGTTGTCATATAGCAAAGAAATAAAACAGTTTGAAATAAAACACAGAGCAATGCCAGGCCTGCTGAGAATATCAGAGACATCCCCCCTGTTTTTCTCCTCTTCCTTTTCTTATATATATATATCTCCCTCTCTTGCTCTCAGAAACACACATAAACACATAAATAGCAGTACACATGCAAACCTTTTCGACTACAAACAGAAAACTCAGTGCTTTGCTTGTTAAGATCATACATACAAAAAGTGATAAATAAATATATAAATAACAGGAAGGGCACCAATCACGTGCTCTGTTCTCGGCAACACATCCTGTACTGTTTGTTGCCACATTTAGAGGCCACGCCCCCTCCTCTTACCTAAATCCTAAGCTTATTTTAGGCTTGACTGTGTGTGCGCCATCAAGGTGTAATCCCATAAGTCAAAAAGTCAAAGGTATCTCCGTGTTTATCCCTCCTGCACTGACATCATGAGTCCACATGGAGCGCTGTTGCATTCAGTCAATGTTTGCATTATTTATGAACATTTGGTCCAGTGTTTGTGGACATTACATAAGAAGACAGAGTTGTCAGAAATCACAAATACGCAAAAACCATTAATACAGACAAACATTCATCCAGAAACTCTGTCAAATACTGACGTGCTAATCTGTAAAATTTGATTTGAGTCCATTACCTCCAACTTTGACATCATTTCTCACTTGCTTCAATTAAACTAACAAAGTGATTACCTGGCAAGGCCATCGTCCACAGATCATCTCTGCCCTTGATGCTACAAAAAAATTGCTTTGATACAAAAGAAGAAAAAAAAACTGAAATGTTGTCGAAGAATTCTTTGGTTGACAATTCAGGAAGCTTGCAGCAGCACCGAGTAAGGAGTCATGTCAACCGCATAAATGATTCTTCTGCACAAAGGGCTTGAAATGCATTGGTAAGTTAGAGTCTGTGTTAGTGCAAATACCAGATCCAACACAAGTTGTTGAGTGATTTGTTGAATGGTCCAGTAGCTGCCCGGATAGGTAGCTAAAAGAAAAAGATGACTGTCTTTTGTGTATCGTTGATATTGCTAACTCACTTTTTTTCCCTTCCTTTCGTCTCTACGTGATTTGTGTTGTTGTTTGTCTTGTCGGCAGAAAGTTAAAGAACTGTTGGAACTCAGTTGGTAAGGCGCAGCAGCATCTGGATCTGCTTTACTCGCATTTCCACGGTCCCTCTTCAACAAGAGAGAAATCTGAAGTCTTGCCATTTTTGCCCATGGTGACCTGTAAGCAGTTATCAAGAACATCTAACTGATTGGGCCAAGGCACGGTCATTTCAAAAAACAGAAACGGTTGGGAAGAGAAGCCATTGCTTCACTACAGTCAGTCTTTGAGGTCGGGCTGGTGAGGTGAATTCCACTCAACATAGAAAATATGTATACAGTGAAACAGGGATGCTGTTTACATGTCGACAGTGGTCTTTTACAGTATTATAAAAACTTGGCCATGTATTTTATGGCTTCTCTGCCCAACCGAATTATAATAGTCAAACAATCATAATGCAACTTTTGCATCAGACAAAAAGTTGCATCATACAAACAAATACATATCAACAATATTCTCTAAAAAAATGACTAGATTCTGCTCGGTATTACGGGGGAAGGATTGTTCGATATGCATGTCATAAATGTATGCATAACTTTGGATGACACGTGGTGAAACAGCAGTCTTTATGTGTGCCACTGGTGGGAAAAAAATCCACAAAATATGGCCAATGACTAAAAACTGTAATTTGGTCTGGGCTGCCACAAATACATGTCCAATTAAGTAGACAAAAAATAACGATTTCCTTATGAGAACAAAACATAACACAACAACAGGTCAAATAGAATTGTGTACAAGACAACACATTGGGTTGATGCTTAAAACTAAACCCTTTCTTTTGGACTTCATTAAAGTAAAACAGAGCTCTTTTGGATTTAAAAAAAGAAACCAAAATCTAAAAAAAAAAAGGAAAAAAAAGCTTTTGATGAAGCTGGTATCCAAAAAACTGCTTTTTCATACGATAAACTGGTGAATAAATAAATATAGCTATATCTTTTGATTTTTCAACTTTTTTAAAAATAAAATACATTCTCTGTAGTTAAAATATAACATTTGTTATTGAAACATACACAAATACGTTATCATAGGAGGTCACATAGAAAAGAAACACAGACACAGAGAGGAAAAGAAGGACGAACACAACCACAGAGCAGGGGAGGTTTCTCTACATACACGTCTCTATGTCCGTTAATGTGAAATGTACCTTGCAGTCGTCTATTAAGATTGAGTTGTGGTGAGTGTAAACATTCTGGTTGGTGTTATTTTCATAAAAAGATTGTGTCTTTGACATCTCAAAGTCCTCCATCCTGGTCTGCTGGGAGTCGAAGGAGTCCAGTTCGTGTTTGGAGAGGTGGTACACGATGCCCGCTCCATACGAGTCCCCGACCACGTTAACCGAGGTACGGAAACGATCCCTGCAAGACAGACACATACGAATAATCAATGACAGATAAAAATTAAAGCATTGTATCCAGACAGGAAGTGAAGTACCCTTAGTTTAAAGCAATACAACATTTTAAAATAAAAGCAAAACAAAAACAGTTTTTAAATGCAAAACAACAGAATTTCAGACTGCAAATTGTGATCATTCCAGTGTGAGGCATCTAAAAGTCTTATATTGTTATATTTTGTGGTTTTTCCTAATAATTTGATCAATTTGATTTGAAAGCTCCTGGGAAATACTTTTTGTTTGTGTTGATTTTGGCGCCCCCTGTGGCCGATCTTTTCTGTGCATGTTGAAGAAGTTTTTTTCTGGCCAAAAATCACACCTTGCTGTCTTTAAACAGGCAAGAGAGTTTATCTCTGTTAATTAGTTTGTTAAAGAGGTTACACCTTTTATATGAATCATGTAGCCCGAGGTTCAACAAAATCCCTTTGATCAGTTGAGGTGTAGGTGAGGCAGCCCGTTCCCATATGAGTAATATCCATTTGTTGCCAACCGAGAGAGAAACCGCCAGAACTTGTCTTTTTTGCTAATGGATTATGTGCAGTAGATCCTAAATCAACACAGAGGTGTGAGTGAGTGGGCATATTGAGAACATTTTTTTTTGTTGAGAAATGTAATCAGAGCAGGACAGCCCGATTTGTTATCACCCCCTGAAAGTATGTAGGCTACAGGAACATGGTCATTATCAAGCTGCGATGAGACGCTCGAGCCAAATCCTGGACGTTCAAACTGAAGTCAAACCTAATACTGCAATTACGCTCCAAATTGTACAAATGCTCCGTGTCTTTTAGCTGTGGACAAATGTTAAAAAAAAATAGAAGAAATGTAAAATTAAAAAGTGAAACAGGTCCTTTGGGTTGAATGGTGATGTCCCTTTTTTGGTTCTGTTTTTAATGATCTAACATGAGCTCCCATTCGTTTTCATTTCAAAGTTAAAAATTATTTTTCGGCTCCTGCATTTGATGTTTAACAATTCCAGAAATTATCTTCCATTGGTAAATCTAACCACCATGGATCATTGAGTTGATTTTTTTTAAATCTGCCTTTCAATAACAGCATTTGTGTTGATGTTGGACTTACAGCAGCCAGTCGACAGCCACCAGCAGACTGATGTCCTGAGTCGGCAGGCCCACTGCTGTGAGGATCAGAAGCATTGTCACCAGTCCTGCACTGGGAATACTGGCTGCTCCAACACTGGCCAGAGTGGCTGTCATACTGCAGAGGAGACAAGTACAATACTCAGCAGGACGGAAGAAAACACACAGAATGAAAGACTGCACTCACACCGAACACTTTGAACATCAAACATTGAATCTCTGATCAAATAAAAATAGTGTGATCACAAGAAGACAATCAAATTAGCAAGACTTCCGGCCAAAATGTCGTTTCTTTAAATGAGAAAAAAACATTTCTAACAATATGGAAATTCAAATGTATATAATCTTCAGTCAGTAATGGGACATTATAATTCCATAGGGTATACTCTATACACAAAGATTTTGCTTCATAATAATTTCCACATCATTATGGGAAAGTTTGAAATAACAAAATGAATCACACCTGACGGTAATAATCTGGCCCCAGTCGAGCGCGATCCCGTTCATCTGAGCAATAAAAATAGCAGCCACGGCCTCATAAAGCGCCGTGCCGTCCATGTTGATGGTGGCACCCACTGGGAGGACGAAGCGTGTCACCCTCTTGTCGATGCCCAGGTTCTCCTCTAGGCACCGGAATGTGACGGGCAGAGTACCGGCACTGCAGCAAAAGAAACAGGAACAAATGTTTTATAATGCTATCGTTGACGTGAGCAGCATGCGAGGAGATTTAATTTTAATATCTCTGCATCCAAATTTGCACAAAAAAAGAAATTATAAAAATTAATTTTCTCTGGGTTACAATGATTTGGAAGTCTTTCTTAAGACTTAATTACCCAATTTTATTTATTCACACTGGAAAAAATCCACTCTGAAATGTGATTAATTAGCGTCTAATTTGTTACATGAAATAAAGTAAGTTGGGTTAGAACTTTTGGAGTTTTTACTTCACCAAAGATCCAAAAAGTTTCACTAGTTTGAATTCACTTTCAGGGTGAATCTCACAGAGGGAACAGCAGTAATGACTCAGCAGTTGTTTTTTGTATGTCTGATAATTAAGAAGTGTTTCTGGTTGGTGGAGGAGCGATGAACTTGAGAGAAGTGAGCTCACCTCAGGAGAGGAGAGAGTTCTACCATGTCATTAATAAAACATGGAGTAAAAATAAAAGAAGTCCTCCCAGTTGGAGGCAAAGTAAGAAGCCATGGCTGGCGAGACTACTTCATGGTTAACATTTGAAAATCAAGGTTATACTCTTGGATGGAAATGTGAATCACATTATTCACAGAAACACTGAAGAGGATCAGTCTACTGTTCATGGTTAGTGACAAAGAAAAAATAGTAGATTATAGAAAACTCAAACCTGGATGCTGTCCCGAGTGCTGTGACCCAAGCTTGAAATATTCCCATGAAGAACGTGAAGGGGTTATCCCTCACTATCACAAAATATATCAGCGGAAGGAAGATGCCTCCATGGATGATGAGACCCACTATCACAGTGACCATGTACATCCCCAGCTGTCTGGCAACCACCTCCAGGTCAGCGATGGAGATGATCTTTCCACAGATGAGGCACGCAATACCAACAGGAGAGTACCTGGAAATGGACACAGTGTGTTTTTTTCTCTCTCTCTGCATTGATACCATCACTGTGGCTTTCTGCATGGTTTGGCAATGTCACTGGCTGGAGCGATCTAGTGGATGGTACTTACCACATGATTGCTCCAACGAGCCTCATAACGATCTCATTCAGGACGTTGAAAAACTCCAACATCATTTTGGCCTTTTCTCCCATTTTTCCCATGATAACCCCGAAAGCAACAAAGAATCCAATCAAACCTGGAAGGCACAAAATGCAGCGTTAGAATTAGAAATGTAATTAGTCTGGGACAAACCAGCATTTGCTTTTTGAAAACAGCAAATATTTTACTTTGTCTATAAAGAGAATTTAAGGGAGGAGACAGCTTTGCAGCCTTGAATCAAGAAGTATGTGGAAAGTGTTTTGGGCTAGATAACAATCATAAGAAACATTTCACTGACCGTTACATGCTACAGTGTTTGAAAAGTATTTCTTCTGAAATGTACTGGACTTGCATGCCACAAATGTCCAAATGACCTTTCCAAGACCATTTAAGTTGACAATGATCAATGATTAAATGCATTTTTCTGTTTATTGTGCAGCATTGGTGATAGTTTCTTTGTCTGTTATGTAATTGAAATGGAAAAAAATAACTTTCCTTTTTCTTCAACAACTATTTCTCTTCCCTTGTGCAGTGGGAGTGTTTTCTAACTTTTCACCTACCGAGGACATTCATCCCTCCCTTGAACTGAAGCGACCTCTTCACTGTGAACTGTGGAGGTGCTTTGGTTCTGTTAGTGGGCACAGGTATTTTGGTGGTTACTGTCTGGATCTGGACAAGAATCAAAGGAGAAGAACAAACAGTTGGAGCGCCTCACATATGAATCAGGCAGTATATGGCGCGGGGGTGAAAAGATTCGGTGAGACTCATACCTGCTGGAAGCACGCCTGCACCAAGTTCTCCGGGAAAAGATTTCGGATGAGATCGAAGAAAGCGTCCATGCTGGACACCTCGTCGTTCTTCCTCCCCTGTCCCAAGTTCGCCTTCAGCTTGGGGTTTCCGGGATGGATGAGCAGCACCAGGATCACGCCGAGGACGGCTGCGATCACAGTCGTTGACATGTAGTACACCATGGCTCTGGTGCCGAGGCGGCCGCTGGATTTGGCATCCAAACCGGCAAGTCCTTTGGGCAGATTGAACAGGAACATAGGGTAAGTGATCTAATCTATTTCGGAAAACTGGATCAAATAAACCCTAGAATTTACCCTAGACCTTCCAAGTTTTCTGTCTCTCAGTCAATAGATTTAAATTCTGGTTGTTTTTTCATGAGATCTGACCTTTGCTCCAAATTTTCAAATAGAATAACTCTGATGAAAACATAATTAAGTTGATCAACTCCCCTCCAAATTACTTTCTGCTGATGTCTTTACAATTCTTCAGCCAAACTTTTCACATGATTTGCTTCCAAATGGAGACGACTCGGTCCAAGACTCAACTCAATTCAAATGTACACTTGGCAGGATGATTAAACCTCCCCTTTTAATTCAGTTATAATTATCCATCGTGACAGAAAGCGATTGTAGCAGTATTTATCAGATGACTGGTGGAGGGACCAGACGTCTGGACTTTCAGGAGGCACATAATGAATCACAGTGCTCTTCAACACATGAATTGTTTACTGAGGGTAATTGTGTTCCTTGTGCATCAAGGGAGACTCGATAGAAGTCGTGATAACTCTCGAGGTTATGGAGAGGCAATATTTTAAACGTGTCTGCGTACTCTGCTGTAGACGATAAAAGATTATGATTTAGTTCTGTCTCAGGTTATAACGGTGCTGTTTGTCTTTCTAAAGTTTAGTTATGGAAGCTAAAAATCTGGGCCATGGCCTGTACTTTTAAACCAATCATGTTTGTTTTATATGTCTGATTTAAAGTTTAAAATGATTATTAGGGATTGTGTCCAAAGCTTTTTTAATCTTTTACAACAACCTTTGTTCAACAGTTATGTAAAGTATCTTATTAACGAATTAAGAATTAAAATTATGATCATCGGTTTGCCAGAAATCGATTTTCCAACAACATGGCTCTCTCGTATTCCAACAAAGGACAAACACAACTCTTTAAAATGTTGCCAACATAACTCACTGTAACTGTGTCTTTCTGCCGTCTGCGGATTTTGTAGTCCTAGTTTTTATTTATTTTTTAACTAGTATCAAGTTTTAGTTTTTGTTCACCAAAATAGTTTGAAGCGTGGAAAAACAAGAACATCTGTGAAACTGTGCTAGATACACTCAACACAAAACTGTGTGCGCCTCCCATCCTCCACACAGATCTCATCTATGCACAAAATAAAACACTTTATGAAGCTTTTTTTTCTTTTAAGTGCGCCTGGCAGCATAAAAAAAAAAAAAAAAAACGCCCACTCTCCTGTCTCTCCTGTTGCAACGTAACTCCCCGTTAGCAACAAGTTGCACCACTCGTCCTCATTTCAGGACATCCGTCTGCAAAATTTAAGCAGAACATTTGCAGCAGCCACCGTATACCCCACCCACCTGTGACCAGACTGGAAACAACGAGAGGCAGAATAAGCATCTTCAGCATCCTCATTAGGATCTCCCCAGGGAAGGCGATGATCATAACAACATCAGGAGGGAGAGGCGATATGTGCCGCAGCAGCATTCCAGCAATGGAGCCCAAAAACACACCTGAGCGGGTGAGAGGAAAAAAAAACACAAAATCAAACACAGAACCACCGTGAAGCAAGAATCTTAGCCGTGAGAATTCCAGTGTGAACACTAACAAGTGTCTGAATGAGAGTAAGTCAACATCTGTTAATATAAACTGTCATCTTTTGCTTGTTAGAATCTAAACACTGCAAGCTGTCATATGTGTGACTGACAACAACAAAAAACATGTGACAATTAAACCTTACTCAAAGCTGACTTCTTAAAGGTCACTAATGTTTCAACTTACTAGCAAGAAAATATAACTTTTATCTAAATGTCAGTGTACAAAAAAAAGTTAGAAAAGAAATAAAAAGGAGAGAAAAAGCTCTGAATATACTGTAACCCTTTTTGGCATTGACAAATGAGATGTAAAAGCAGCTCCTCGCTTCAGTCTATTAAATTAGATTTTTCAATGAAATACGATTGCAGACATAGGATATTCTGGAACTTCATTTTTTTTCTAATGCTTGCTATTTTAACATCCAGAAAAAAGACTGCAGAGCTGATGATATATGTAAATTATATGTAGAAAAGAGGCGCAACAGTGGCATCAGATGCTCCAGGATTGTTACACAGTCCAAATAAATCTCAGTCGGGTTCATTTCTTATATGTGTGGTGTATTTTGCTGCCTGAGTGATTGACTCGCATCAAACATATCCGCCGAGCATTTGTTTCCAATGCTTACTGAGAGAACTGCCTAATCCCCAGTAAAAGCTGGAGTAGAAAATGGTTGGATTGAAGAGGAACATAGGAATAAAAACTTACCAAGGATTGTGAGAGTGAGCACCATGTTCTTCATGATTTTATCACAAAAAGAGCTACATGCACTCTCAGTGTTCTCCACTCTGGGCTCCAGGTGGTTCTCATCCATCCTGACTTCCACTTGCTTCTGCATTTTGTTGGCACTGAAAAAATAAACAAGCTGATTTCTAAAACTGGCAGATTTTAAAGTTGCAAAATTAACATTTTCTTTAATGTAAACCAGCAAACAGTATATGCTTTGGGTACATGAGAATACGTTTTAGCTAAGAGAAGACATTAACAATGTTGACACAGCCACCTGTCGCTGAGACAGCATGTGCAAGTCAACAGTTATGAGTTAGAAAAGTTTAGTATTTAGATGAATGTTTATCACAGGGAAAACATTGTAGCCCACCACTGTAATGTCCTGGGGTTTACAGTTAGTTTAGTTCTGCATTCCCACCAATGAACATTTGGTGAGTCCAGTTAGGACTCTTACTGTTGTCAACTGTTTAAACCCCAACAAGTTGTTGAGGAAGTCTGCCTAGGCAGGTGTTGGATCGTGGGCATTCAGAATTGGTCATAGTCCGCACAACATCGACCATTGTTTTGTGAACCCAACTTCTGAAGGCTCTGCTTTATGGCCGTAGCATTCTTGTTTTTGATCAACAGTAGTGGACATACTTGATTGACAGGGTGTAAAAGCAATTTTTCCCTCTCCATCTTGGTTGATTGGCTGTAGTGGTTGCAAAGTGTCAATCCCAAGCATTCTGCGTTATTGTCTCATGTCTCTATATCGACCCAAATGGGACCATCATTTACAAGTCCAACACTGTGCTGGATTGAAGCATGGGGATTGAGTACTTAAACTAATTAGGGTTTTTTTTTACTGCAGAGATTCAGATCAGGGGAAATTTCCAATCTCTTTTTAAACATTCAGACTTCTTTTTTGTATCTTGTGGCGTCATCCTTTTTGGGCCATTATTAGAATGCAGGTGTAGGGCACTTTAGCGTGGTTTAACTGGTGAATACAAAGGCTATGTGGACATGCTATTAAAATTAAGCTCTCCTATCTTCAGTGGCAGGTTAAAAAGAAATGGTTGGTCAGTTGGGGAGAGTCAACAGCGGACTTAATGGGGATAAAAATGGCCTGCAACACCAAAAAATAATTTGTCACAATGGTATGATATTAAATATTCGACAAACAACAAAATTTGCAAATATGATTGAATTAGCCGACATTGCATGCAAGATTGGTATTTGAAAAAAAAGTGAATTCATGGTGTCATTAAGTAATTAATAGGGGCAAATGCACACATGGTTAAACTTAATTAACTTTGCATACTTTTGCATCCTGAACGCCTGCAAATTTGGTCAAAAATTTTACAGATGGCCTTTTTTATAATTAGTGACTGACACTCGCAGGGACTGACAATTAGCACAGAATCAATAAAGAGCCTGTGTATAATCTGCATTTTAAACAAATTATTCCAGTTTTACTCGCTAAGTTTGGGGTAAACAGAACAGCAGCTGTTACTCATATCCTCCCCTCTGCTACTGCTTCTGTTAGAAGTCCATGCATAGTCATTTATGATAATCTGAGATATTCTATTTTGGTGTTTGAATGTAATATCAGATAAATAAAATCTGCTTGTAAAGTTTTATAAGGGCATGCATAATGTGAATGTTTGAGTAAATACTTGGTATGCACGCTAATGTGTTTGTTTTACGTGGTCACTGGTTTTGACCTTGTGTTTCCTTGAGTCTCTAGGGTTTGTAAGGATAGCTTTAATAATTGAAGACCATCCATCCGCCATTCCATCCATCCATTCCTTCCTCCTGCTGCTTCATAATATGCGTAGGTGAAGCAACAAGTGTCTGAGGTTTGTTGTGGTTTGGTGTAAAGCCTCTTTGACTTAGAGATCAGCTCTCCCCTGTGCAGCCTTTAAATCCTCTGTCGAGCACAGACTTTCACTCTTACGCAAGAGTGAATGCCCGAGTCAATTAGACACTTGACCTTCATGTCTTGAACACCTGGAGGACTGGTGAATATATGCTGGTGACAAATGCAGAGGAAAAAATACTGTTTTCTATCAGACAAGGTTTTAGATTCAGTGTAAAATGTTTCCTGCAAAAATGGCCTTCCATTAAAAAAAAAAAAAGTACATTTAAGAGAGGAGAAATAGCTTGAGATAGTGGCTGCATAGAGACTTATTCTGCATTCTTCTTCCAGCATTCAGCAACATGTTTGATAATTGAATATGTGGTTGACTTTCTATATAAGACCTGAAAGTTAAGAGGGAACACACAAGGTGAGGACAGAACACCTGCCAAGTCAATCACGACTGTCTGATACACTCTGCTCCAGCATTAATGAGCCTTAAGCCCTTTAAGGAGGATAAAATTAGCACCTGCAGCACACAAGTGATTGAGTTATGCAACAGAAAAGGGGCTTCCCAGGAAAAGTCAAGGTGTCACCACCACCCGACTTGACCATTGTTATGCAGGAGATTACTCATTTGAATGAAAAACTTGAGTGTTTTTTCTACAGCAAGCTATTCCTAATGCATTGTTCAAATCATGATAGACCAAAAAAAAGGCGGTTTGAAACCCAATTAGGGACACTTTGAGGTGGACAAAGATTTTCCCAATACAAGCTGATCATTTAATGTTTTTACTGTAGAAAGTTTCATAAATTACACTTCAACTGTAGATCTGCGGTTGTTAGGTTGAGGCAAAAATGTCTAGGGGGGAAAACAGAAAAAGAATGCATCCATTTATCATTTGAGGAGTAAAGACAAAAAACTCGAAAGAAACATCACACGATCTCTATCAATGCATTGCCAACAGGATTTATACTGATGGTTTTGTTTGCCTTTGCAGCAGTTATCTCTGGACACAACACACAACAACTATTCCATCATCATCATGCATCATTGATGCATCTTTCGGCTTTCAAGGGAAATCTGCGCCTCTCCAATGCCAATGTTTGGATGACTCATCTGAAAAACTACCACCACATCACAACCTGCTACTATTAATGCTTACCAGTTGTTTTTTTTTTTAAATGTTGCTTTGGATTAAACGTGTACTTTTTTAAGCGTTACCACACAGCCATCAGCTTCAGAGAACCAAATAACAGACTCATGGCTCATGCATTAGTAAATCCAGTCAGAACCTCCAAAAAAAACAGTCACTCTGTAAAAGGATCCTCAGTTTAACAAAAATGGTGAAAAAGTGTATTCCTCAGCATTCAGTGTAAATCCACAACCACAGGTGCCTGTTCATTCAGCTGCAGGGAGGTGCGTAAAGGTGAACTGACTACACTGGAGGACTGACATGAGTCTCTCAGACAGGAAGGGTGGAGTCAGTCGCTAAGATTAGCGAGGGAGTGAAAATCCTTGTTCCTTTTTTTTTTTTCCTCGCCTTGTTGTATTTGTCTACCTCTCCCCCTGAAAGACAGTGATTTATATCGCTTTGGACATCCAACTAGATAAAGTCTCAGAAGGTCCAGATAGAGTGAAAAATGATGTTTGGATTTCATAAAAAAGGATGTACTTTGCCTGGGTCCTACTCGACCAAAAACACAAACCGTGTTGGGATACTTCAAACAACTTATTCTAAAATTCAAGATCTCATGAATTAGACTGAAGAAAGATAAAATTATACTCGTTATCACAATACTTCAGCTCCAACATGCTGAACTCGCAAAAACTTGAGTGCAGATGCTTGGAAAGTGCACGGTTTGCTGAGCATTGAATTTGTACAGGCCTCTTTAAAAAAAAAAAAAAAAAAAGTTCTCAGATGTTTGGGCTTAAAACAATCCCTGAGGAAGTTGTCAGGAGCCTCAGCTCATAATTAATTTCTAAAGCACAGTTCTGTCATGACAGGATGATCTAATGCTATCAGGGATGTTGTGCTTCTCATTGCACCAAGCGACATCTCAAGTATAGTCTTTTATTTGTCTCTCTTGTTTTTAATCCGAATCAGAACTCACACTTTGTGACAGCTCGTTGAGTGCGGTCTCTTAAATGAAGTTTTTCTATGACTCCATCGCTCTCCACATTTACAAGTCTTCAAAACAAGCTCGCAAAGCTGCTTGCAAAGTTTGTGATTCATTAGATTCTTCTAATTGCTTGCACTACAGTTAATTTCTATACTGCATTTAAAATATGAACCAGAGAAAAGGATCTCAATTAATGTCAAGTGTGGTGTTCACAGCAAACAAAAACTTTCACATTAAGTTGCACAAAGCTTCATATTCATCCCAATAAAAGTTGATTATAAGACAAAACAGAAAAAACTGACTGCAGCTGTTTGCTTGACATATTTCGGAGTATTAATTAGTCATTAACTATGCCTCATTTTTGTTACTATTTCTTTTATTTTTTCTTTGTATTGATTTGAAAGAAAATCTAGGCTCAAGAATGATTCTGTCACTTCTGCTCCTCAGATGAACCAATATTGGATTGTCGGAGATGACAGACGATCATTTGGATGACAGCAAGTCAAAAGCAAAACTAGGGGAGTATGAACTCTTTTTATGATTGCATTGATTTTACGTTTGTTTGATCCAATAATGCGGCCCTGGATGTTTTTTTTTAAGCTGCTCATTTGGCGGGTGCCAAATCCTCGCAACAACAACAACAACACTGCTTGTTAAGGCCTTAAGTTGAGGTTTTTTCTTTATATGCGTGCTGATATGTGTTTAGCAGTTGCTTATTCACTGAATGGCCTTAATGTAATCATCCTTAAAGATATAGTGACCGTGGCTTCTCGCTGAGTGGAGTTGTAGTTCCACTCAACGACAGAGCCATTATCATTATGTTCCTTTTGCAGAGGTTGCATTTATTCTTTATTGCAGTGATGGAGTGATTATTTCCCATGTGAAAAAAAGATGATAACCAGGTGTTTGTGATGTCTTAAAAGACATTTTGACAGTCGTCATTTTGGTCCTATTTCATGTCTTATTATATGAAAGCCATTATGATGTCCTTTATGATAGCTTCAAGCCTTGTTAACTCTCATCCACAGCGTCGTCTAGTTTTGAAAATGAGGCTGTGAAACCTTGATTTCACCTCTTTCTCCCATTTCTTTTTGGTAATACATTAATTTATTATATCAGAATCAAAAGAAGAATCTGTTGCCGGGCGAGTGATT